CCCAGACTTTCTGTGTTTATGCATCATTGTCCACCTCCTTTCATCAGAGTGTGAGCTCCGCAGGCAAAGGCTCTTCAGACCTGAGGCAGTCTAGGCTCTGTCCCCAGAGTCTAGAATAGAACCTGCCACATAATTGGCGCTCAATAAATGTTACACAAATTAATGGAAACCGTCCTGGCACCAGTGGTAGCTCTCTTTCCACCAAAGGAATGAGCTTGCCAAGACAGAGACAACATCATGAAAGAAAGAGGCACCTGTAATCCCAGCTACTTGGGAGGTTGAGGCAGGAGAATCACTTGAACCCGGGAGGCAGAGGTTGCAGTGAGCCGAGATTGTGACATTGCACTCCAGCCTGGGCAACAGAGAGAGACTCTGTCTAAAAAAAGGAAAAGCAAAATACTGTACTGATTCAGATTTTTTTCCAAGCAAGTAATAGGTAAAAAGAAACCCAAACCGGCTTACAAGAAAGGGCACCCGTTGGCTTGCGAAACTGATCAGCTGCAGCCATTGGTATAAGATTGATCCGGGCCGGGCGCGGTGACTCCTGCCAGTAATCCCAGCACTTTGGGAGGACGAGGTGGGCGGATCACCTGAGGTCGGGAGTTCGAGACCAGCCTGACCAACATGGAGAAACCCCGTCTCTACTAAAAATACAAAATTAGCCAGGCATGGCGGCGCACGCCTGTAATCCCAGCTACTTGTGAGGCTGAGGCAGCAGAATCGCCTGAACCCGGGAGGTGAAGGTTGCAGTGACTCCAGCCAAGGTGACAGAGCGAGACTCTGTCTAAAAAAAAAAAAAAAGAAAAAGGGTGAAAGGCAGCCCCAGAGTGGGAGAAGAGATTTGTAAAATGGGCAAAGGCCTTATAATTGGAATAGATAAAGAACTCCTAAAAAGTCAGTAAGAAAACCACAGACATCCCAAGAGAAAAATGGGCAAATGTCTCAAGTAGGTATCTGGTGAAAGAGGAGATGTGGATGGCCAATGAATCTGCACAAAATACTCATCATGGTTAATCATTAGGGAAATGTAAATGAAATCCGCAGGAGACACCTGGGCACAACCTCCAGAATGCATACAGTGACCCAGTGGCAAGGACAGGAACGACCACTTTGGAAAACTCTTTAGCAGCACAGCCAAACCTAGCCTCCCCACTAAAAATGCCCTTTGCTCAGAACCCAGCAGCAGCTCCAAAGTCTCCACCCAGCCTGTGGTGCCCCAGTAACCACCCTTGCCTCCCATGCCTCTCTCCTCACCCCTGCATTTGGCTGCCCTCACCCTCTGGCTGTACCTTGAACACCCGAAGGGCACTCCTGCCTCCAGCCTCTACCTGGAATTTTCTGCCCTCATGTAGCCATGTGGTTCACTCCTCCCTCGGTCTCTGCCCAAATGGCCCCTGTAGAAGAGACCTCCCCACCCAGCCATGTCCTCTCCCTGTGACTTGCCACCCCAGACTTTCTGTGTTTATGCATCATTGTCCACCTCCTTTCATCAGAGTGTGAGCTCCGCAGGCAAAAGCTCTTCAGACCTGAGGCAGTCTAGGCTCTGTCCCCAGAGTCTAGAGTAGAACCTGCCACATAATTGGCGCTCAATAAATGTTACATAAATTAATGGAAACCGTCCTGGCACCAGTGGTAGCTCTCTTTCCACCAAAGGAATGAGCTTGCCAAGACAGAGACAACATCATGAAAGAAAGACAGAAAAGCCACGCTCAGACCCATCACTGAGTTCTGGATCAAATCTTTTTTTTTTTTTTCAGACGAAGTTTCGCTCTTGTTGCCCAGGCTGGAGTGCAATGGCGCGATCTTGGCTCACTGCAACCTCTGCCTCCCAGGTTTAAGTGATTCTCCTTCCTCAGCTCCCGAGTAGCTGGGATTACAGGGCATAATGCGACCATCGACCGCTGATACTTTGTATTTATTTAGTAGAGACGGGGTTCTCCATGTGCGTCAGCTGGTCTGAACTCCGAACCTCAGGTGATCCTGACCGCCTCGGCTCCCCAAAGCACTGGTTTACACGTGGAATGCAATCATGCGTCCCAGCTCCTGTGTATTTTTTAGGAGCTTTGCTTGTTTACTTTTCCTGTTTAGATCTATGATGACAGATCAGAAATTAGAATTTTTTGTGTGCTGGTGAGGAGACGGGGTGGAGTATGGTGAGAAAAAGCATTCGCTATTTGGTTCCCCATTGGAATATCAGTGACTGGGTGGGTGACTTATGCCTGTATCCGGCACATTGGAAGCAAGGCAGGGAGAACTGTTGGAGCCCAGAGTTTCAAGACCAATCTGGGCGAACCATAGTGAGACCCGTTGGATGGATCAGATGAATGGTCAATCATCATAGATAGATAAGATATCCAAATTATCCAAAACTATCACAGAAAAGCCGCCATCCATTCCCTACAGCAGACTCTAGGATCCCACTAAGTTGGAAGGACTTCTAGGACAGCTATCCTTTTATTTTCACTTGGGTTGATTGTCCTTCTCTGCAGGTACGCACAGTTATGTTAGGATTATACTAGCTTTTATTTTATTGATTTATTATTTATTTTGAGACTAGAGTCCCTCACTGCTGCCACCAGCTGGAGGCCAGTGGCATGATCTCAGCTCACTGCAACCTCTGCCTCACCGGGTTCAAGCGATTCCGGCCGAGCCTCCAAATAGCTGGATTGACAGATGGCACCACAGCCCAGTAAGTTTTGTGTTTTTAGTAGAGACAAGGGTTTACCATATTGGCCAGGATGGTCTCGATCTCCTGACCTCATGATCTACCCGCCTTGGCCTCCCAAAGTGCTGGGATTACAGGCGTGAGGCACCGTGCCTGGCCAGGAGTTCTCACAAGGAGGAGGCAGAAGCTGTAAAAGCAAGGAAAAGGATCCTCCCCTAGAGCCTCAGAAGGAAGCAGCCGTGCGGACGCCTTGGTGTCAGGCTTCTGGCTCACTGAACCATAAGAGAATCAATCTCTGTTGTTTTAAGCCACCAAGTTTGTGGTACTTTGTTACAGTGAAACTAAGCACCCTGCACCTGCCTTGGGTGCCATGACACACGCTTCCATCCTGCGTTATGTTCCCTATGGTACTTACACATCTTTCTTTCACTTGCAGCTGAAGAGTGTATCAACTAAAGCAATAACCCCATTCTCTCTTTTTAATTTCAGAAGTCACGTACAATCACATTGTGAAACCTGGGAAACAACACTTCCTTCTTTCAAAGTCAGTTCTGCTATTCGTGTGGACCTAACGTCTCAAGGATCTTGTGCCCTCATTAGTGGTCTGGAAGGATGCCCAGACCTTCCGGTTCATCAGGGGTTGAAGAGGGCGATAGTTGTTCACCATCATCTTCTCCTCTTCACCAAGTGCAGAAAACAGGAGAGTACGAAATGCAGAGAGCTGGAATAGAGGGCAGCCAGGGTGAGCTTGGTATGAGTGCAGAGTGAGCCAGCCCCTGGGTGTCCCTCAGGCCTTATGTGGTCCCCTCTCATGCTGAATCAGGATTGCCCGAAATGACCAGTAAATATGGTGTAAGGGACAGTGTGTGCAGAGCCAGGTTATAAGAGGCATTGCCGCCTCTGCTTGGTCTTTAGGATCACTTGCTCTGGGGGGAAGCTGGTCGCCATATTGGGAGGGTACTCAAGCAGCCCCGAGGAGAGGCCCATGGAGAGAGGAACTGAGGCTCCCAGCCAACTGCCAGCACCAACTTGCCAGCCACTTGAGAGGGCCAACCTTGGAAATGAATCCTCTAGCCCTAGTTGAGCTTTCAGATAACTACAGTCCCAGCTGACATTGGGCTACAACTCATGAAAGATGGTAAGCCAGAGCCACCCAAATTCACAACCCATGGAAACTGTGGGAGAAAATAAATGATTGGTTTGTTGTTGTTGTTGTTGTTGTTTGACACAGTGTTTTGTTCTTGTTTCCCAGGCTGGAGTGCCTTTGGCGAGATCTCAGCTCACTGCAACCTCTGCCTCCTGGGTTCAAGCGATTCTCCTGCCTCAGCCTCCTGAGTAGTTGGGATTATAGGCGCATACCACCACACCCGGCCAGTTTTTGTATTTTTAGTAGAGACAGGGTTTCCCCATGTTGGTCAGGCTGGTCTTGAACTCCTAACCTCAGGTGTTCCACCCGCCTCATACCCCAAAGTGCTGGGATTACAAGCATGAGCCACTGCACCTGGCCCAAATGATTGTTTTCTGAAGTCACTATGTTTTGGAGCTATTTGTTACACAGCAATAGATAACTGACACATATAATATAAATGCTAAAGTAACATTTGAATTTACTTTTCACTCAAGGAACTAAAAGACTACTTTTTATGACTGGGCACAGTGCCTCACACCTGTAACCCCAGCACTTTGGGAGGCTGAGGTGGGTGAATCACCTGAGGTCAAGAGTTTGAGACCAGCCTGGCCAACATGGAGAAACTCTGTCTCTACTAAAAATACAAAATTAGCTAGGTGTGGTGGGGCATGCCTGTAATGCCAGCTACTTGGGAGGCTGAGGCAGAAGAATCACTTGAACCCAGGAGGCGGAGGTTGTGGTGAGCTGAGATCATGCCACTGCACTTCAACCTGGGCAATAAGAGGGAAACTCCATCTCTGAAGGAAAAAAAAAAAAGACTTTTTATGTATCATCTCACTTATTCACAAAATATACTTATGAACTCTGTGAGTTAACTCATGCATTCAATTGAATTCAGAAGTGAGATTATGTCTACATGCTGACAGCGTACTGAGCCAGTTAACCCTGCGCGATGATCACGTGCCCCCTAGAGTTGTGTTGTGCACGGTGCACGTGGTCTCCTGGGCCCTGACCACGGTGTGCTCATCCACATTTGTGGTCTGCACATTTGTTGACTGTCTCAGAGAGGCAGCCTTTCTCCTCCCCTGGAAAACTCCCCACCTCCCAGGACATGTGTACCCTGCCTCCCTGGCTCCCCTGCTCAGGATAAGGGGCTCCTGCCCTGCATTTTTACATGACACCGGCCACCCTGGCTTAATACTATTGGCTTTGCTTCTACTTTCCTGCCAGACCGCAGTGTTCTGAGACAAAAGCCCTGTTCCTGTGCCACCCCTCCACACCTGTCCCCCTCCCACCGTCTCCTGGCGGCACAGACCCAGAATGGGCACTCGTCACATATATGCTTGTTGAGTGGCATAAGGGTCTTGGTGACAAGGGGCCACCTTCAACCAAAGCCTTCCCCATCTCCGACGGCTCTGCTTCGGAGGCAGGCAGATATTCTGCATCCCACATCTCCAAGTGCAAATGACATCACGCCATAATGAGTAAACAAGGTAATATTTTCGCAGACCCAGGAGACTGAAAGACCCTCACCTGGAGCCCTTGGAAAGAGATGAACCAGAGATGCTAAGTCCTGCTGCGACTGCTGAGAAACGTCTGCCGGGTGGGGGCGGGGCATATAAGCAGCACACTTGTGGTTCTAAACTGCCTTGGACAGACAGAATTGTTACAGATTCTTAAGATTTCCAGAAAAAAATGATAGTATAAACTTTTATTTATTTTTTGTTTTAATTTTTTTGAGACAGAGTCTCACTCTGTCGCCCAAGTTGGAGTGCAGTGGTGCGATCTCAGCTCACTGCAACCTTCGCCTTCCAGGTTCAAGTGATTCTCCTACTTCAGCCTCCCAAGTAGCTGGGACTACAGGCGTTGCCACCTCGCCCCAGCTAATTTTTGTGTTTTTATTTATTTATTTATTTATTTATTTATTTATTTATTTGAGATGGAGTTTTGCTCTTGTTGCCCAGGCTGGAGTGCAGTGGTGCGATCTTGGCTCACTGCAGCCTCCACCTCCCGGCTTCAGGTTATTCTCTTGCCCCAGCCTCCCAAGTTGCTGATATTACAGGCATGTACCACCACGCCTGGCTAATTTTGTATTTTTAGTAGAGATGGGGTTTCACCATGTTGGTCAGGCTGGTCTCGAACTCCTGGACTCAAGTGATCCGCCTGCCTCGGCCTCCTAAAGTGCTAAGATTATAGGCATGAGCCATCACACCCAGCCCAACAGTATAACTTTAAAAAATGTATACAAGTATTATTAACTAATTTTCGGGAAAAAAGGCAATGAAATTATTTAGATAAGAAAAAGGAGGGCCGGACGCGGTGGCTCACGCCTGTAATCCCAGCACTTTGGGAGGCCAGAAAGGCGGGCAGATCACGAGGTCAGGATATTGAGACCATCCTGGCTAACATGGTGAAAACCCATCTCCTAAAAAATAGAAAAAATTAGCCGGGCATGGTGGTGGGCACCTGTAGTCCCAGCTACTCAGGAGGCTGAGGCAGGAGAATGGCACGAACCCGGGAGGTGGAGCTGGCAGTGAGCCGAAAATGTGCCACTGCACTCCAGCCTGGGCGACAGAGCGAGACTCCGTCTCAAAAAAAAAGAAGGCCGGGCTCGGTGGCTCATGCCTGGAATCCCAGCACTTTGGGAGGCCGAGGTGGGAGGATCACCTGAGGTCAGGAGTTCAAGACCAGCCTGGCCAACATGGGGAAACTGTGTCTCTACTAAAAATACAAAAACTGGCCGGGTGTGGTGGTATGCGCCTGTAATCCCAGCTACTTGGGAGGCTGAGGCAGGAGAATCGCTTGAACCCAGGAGGTGGAGCTGGCAGTGAGCCGAAAATGTGCCACTGCACTCCAGCCTGGGCGACAGAGCGAGACTCTAAAAAAAAAAAAAAAAAAAAGAAAAAGGAAGAAAACAAAAACCGTGCAGACCCTGGGACAACTCCCATGAATGCCTTGTGTTTGTGTGTGATAGATCAGGGCGCTGCTCAGAACATGCTCGCTGTGATCATTGGAACCGCTGTCCAATCTCAACAAGCTCCTGCTTCGATTGGAAATTTTTTCTTGTGTAAGAGCGCCCCAAAGGCATGAAAGAATATAACTCCACAACGCTCTTATGCAGCATCTTAGTGACGCTGCCAAGCAAGAGAGATGCCTTCCATGAAGTGCCATCATGCCAGTTACGGGCACAGCTCACCTGGCTTGGGGCCACTTCAACGGGCTCCTTCTGGATGATCCAGGTGACCGACTCGGTCAGCGGTGGGGTGGTGAGCGAGCCCGCATAGGTCCAGTAATCCTGGCAGGCGGGCAGCAGACTGGAGGGGTCGAAGGGGCCCACGGCCGCCCGCGCGTCCTGAGAGACCAAGAAGCACAGGCCGTGTCAGTCCTCAGGCAAGACTAGGAGCTTCCATCTTATCTCAGCACGTGAGGCATTCACGGCACTTGGAAGGAAGTGCTTTCCCCGAGATAAGGCCACGAGGCCACTGCTGTCACACTTGGAAGCAGTGATGAGAAAATATGACCCTTCTATACAGAGCAAGGATTCCTGCCAACTTACATTGGTGGGAATTACATTACTTTACACCAGCTTACGCTGGTGCTTACATTTTTCCTTTTGAAGTCATTTCTTGGCCAGGCGCAGTAGCTCGCACCTGTAATCTCAGCACTTTGGGAGGCCGAGGCGGGTGAATTACTTAAGGTCAGGAGTTCAAGACCAGCCTGGTCAACCTGGTGAAACCCTGTCTCTATGAAAAATACAAAAATTATACAGATGTGGTGGTGGGCGCCTGTAATTCCAGCTACTCAGGAGGCTGAGGCAGGAGAATCACTTGAGCCCGGGAGGCGGATGTTGCAGTGAGCGGAGAGCACGCCACACTGCGCTCCAGCCTGGGCAACAGAGTAAGACTGTCTCAAATAATAATAATAATTAATAAATAATACAGATAAAAATAAAGCCATTTATTTTTGCATACTTTGGCTGCAAAAAATATCACTTTTTATTGTGATAAAATATACATAACATAAAATTTACCATCTTAACCTTTTTTTTTTTTGAGATGGAGTTTTGCTCTTGTTGCCCAGGCTGGAGTGCAATGGCGCCATCCTGGCTGACTGCAACCTCTGCCTCCCAGGCTCAAGTGATTCTCCTGCCTCAGCCTCCTGAGTAGCTGGGATTACAGGTGCCCACCACCACACTTGCTAACTTTGTATTTTTAGTAGAGACGGGGTTTCTTCATGTTGGTCAGGCTGGTTTTTGAACTCCCGACCTCAGGTGATTCACCCGCCTCAGCCTCCCACAGTGCTGGGATGACAGGCATGAGCTACCGTCCCTGGCCCATCTTAACCATTTTTAAGTGTAAATTTCAATGGCGTTAAATGCAGTCACATTGTGGTGCCACCATCTCCACCATCCGTCTCCAGAACTTTTCCATCATCCCAAACTCAAACTCTGTTCTGGGGACCTGATGTGGGTGTGATCCTGTGGTTTTTTGTCTTCTGTGTCTGGCTTATTTCACTGGGCATAATGTCCTTCAGGTTTATCCACATTGGAGCATGTGTCAGGAGTCCCTGCACTGTTGCTTTTTTTTTTCCTTTTGAGACAGAGTCTCGCTCTGTCACCCAGGCTGGAGTGCAGTGGCGTGATCTCGGTTCACTGCAAGCTCTGCCTCCTGGGTTCACACCATTCTCCTGCCTCAGCCTCCTGAGTAGCTGAGTCTACATCCGCTTGCCATTGTGACTGGCTAATCTTTTATATTTTGAGTAGAGATGGGGTTTCACCATGTTAGCCAGGATGATCTCGATCTCCTGATCTCGTGATCCACCCACCTTGGCCTCCCAAAGTGCTGGGATTACAGGAATGAGCCTGGCCTATCTGAAGACATTTCTACTGCTACCTTACGAATGAGGGTATCCAGTATCTCCATGATTACCTCCATCTGTCCCCAAAAACTGTGCCTGCCACCCTGCGCTGCAGCCATCCAGAGACTGGCAGGCCTTGCCCTAAAGGTCTGGAGGGTGACTGACCTGCAAGACTCACAAGAGGGGAAGCCGACAGAGATACCTACAGATGGAGCACTGTGCTCCTGGTGCCGACAAGAAAGCCGAGGCTGGTGCTGGGTCAGCAACCAAATTCCAGTTTAGAGGCGGATTTGCTCGTGGATGTGGCCAGCCACCTCAGTAAAATTAGAGAGGATTATTTTGCATTGAATACACTTACGGCCAAAAAAAAAAGCTTTAAAAAAAAAAAAGAGTCGGGCTCTTACTTTGTCACCCAGACGGGAGTGCAGTGATGCCATCAGAGCTCACTGCAGGCGCTAATTCCTGGGCTCAAGCGATCCTCCTGTCTCAGCTTCCCAAGTAGCTATGACACCACACCAGGGTTTAAAATTAACTGTTTGTAGCCAGGGGGTCTTGCCATCTTGCCCAGGCTGTTCTCCAACTCCTGGGCTCAATCGATCCTCCTGCCTTGGCCTCTCAAAATATTGGGATTACAGGCATAAGCCACTGTGCCCAGCCAGCTCTTTTGGATATATACCCAGAGGTGTGTGATTGCTGAATCATAGGGTAGTTCTATTTATTATTTATTTATTTATTTATTTTGAGGCAGAGTCTCACTCTGTCTTCCAGGCTGGAGTGCCGTGATGTGATCTCGGCTCACGGCGGTTGGGCCTGGCCGCAACACAGCCCTCATCAGTGTCCCAACCTAAACAAGCACAACTCTGCACCTGCCCCTGGCTGTGGGACAAGAGTCCAGCTGGAAGTGACAGAGTCTCTGTCCGCAAGGCAGACGGCCTCCCTGCTCAACCACAGCACATTGACTTTGCTGGGCCCTGGCCTTCCGAGGTGGAAGCCGGCAACCCAGATGCCTTGGGCTTGTCTCCTAACATCAAGCAGTGAGGGTCAGGGTCAGGAGAGGCGGCTGAGCTACCAGAAGGAAGCCCAGGAGTGTCCACGCCGACAGACACATGCATCAGTTCTGGGCACACGTGTTCACATTTGTAATTATCCAGCTAATTTTTTAAAAACAGCATTATAGGCTGGACGCAGTGGCTTATGCCTCTAATCCCAGCACTTTGGGAGGCCAAGGCAGGCAGATCATCTGAGGTCAGGAGTCGAGACCAGCTTGACCAACATGGCAAAACCCCGTCTCTACTAAAAATACAAAAATTAGCCGGGCATGGTGGCAGGTGCCTGTAATCGCAGCTACTCGGTAGGCTGAGGCAGGAGAATTGCTTTAGCACAGGAAGCAGAGGTTGCAGTGAGCCAAGATCGCGCCACTGCACTCCAGCCTGGGCGACAGAGAGAGACTCTATCTCAAACAACTACAACAACAGCAATAAAACCCACAGCATTATTGTGATAGAATTCACATACCATGCAACTCTCCCATCTAAAGTGTACAACCTGGTTGGGCACAATGTCTCATGCCTGTAATCCCAGCACTTTGGGAGGCCGAGGTGGGAGGACTGCTTGAGGCCAGGAGTTTGAGACTAGCCTGAGCAACATAACAAGACCCTGACTCTACAGAAAATACAAAAACTAGCCAGGTGTGGTGGCGCATGCCTGTGGTCCCAGGTAGCTAGGAGGCTGAGGTGGGAGGATGGCTTGAGCCCAGGAGGTCGAGGCTGCAGTAAGCTGTGATCATGTCACTGCACTCTAGCCTAGATGACAAAGTGAGATCCTTTCTTAAAGTAAGTACATAAAAATTGAAGTGTACAGTTCTATGGTTTTGGGTATATTCATGGTTGTGCAGCCATCCCAAGTCAATTTTAGAACATTTTCAACACCTCAAGGAGGAAGCTTGGTACTTTTTAGCTCTCGTCCCCACCCCCGCCCTGCTGCTTCTGTCTCTGTGGGTTTCATAGGAACTGAGTCATGTAACATGTGGAACATTTGTGTCTTGCGTCTCTCACTTAGCATGGTGCTTTTGAGGCTCACCCACACCACAGCGTGAGTTAGAGCTGTGTCCTTTCTGACTGCCAAATAACATCCCATTGCACGGTCTAGCTGCGTTGACATCCCATTGCATGGTCTAGCTGGGCTGCGAAGGAGCACACTGCTTGTGCACATGGGTAACAGGCGGGTGTGCAGTGAGACGCCAGTCTATGCGCATGGGTAACAGGTGGGTGTGCAGTGAGACGTCGGTCTGTGCACATGAATAACAGGCGGGTGTGCAGTGAGATGGTCTGTGCACATGGGTAACAGGTGGGGTGCAGAGAGACGTCGGTCTGTGCACATGGGTAACAAGTGGGTGTGTAGTGAGATGGTCTGTGCACATGGGTAACAGGCGGGTGTGCAGTGAGATGGTCTGTGCACATGGGTAATAGGCGGGTGTGCAGTGAAGCGTCGGTCTATGCACATGGGTAACAGGTGGGTGTGTCCTGAGATGTCCGTCTCCTCCTGCCTGCCACACATCCTCGCTCCCAGGGCATAGATGTGCCAGTCACTTTCTGAGCAACTACTTCAAATCTTCAGAACAACCCTTTGAGAAGTATTTCTGGTTTACTGATAAAGACAGACAGACAGATATAAACAACTTGCCCAAAGCCACGTTGCCAGTCAGGGCCACTGAGGCCTGGCCCGTTCCGAGGTGCGGGCTCTTCCCTCCATCCCCAGGGCTGCAGGAATCAGTCGGGGGAGCGGCAGGCCCCAGCCATTCCTCTGCGTGCAGGTTTCTTGCCAGTTAAGCTTTCTAGTCTTGGGCTGGGAAGAGGATGTCTGTGTGTTGCATCATCGTCCCTAGGAGCTCCTGTCCTGTCTCTAAGATGCATGAGGGCTGGCGCTGCTATGTGGTTACAGAAAGCTGCTCTCCCCCGGGTCCCCAAGGCAAGTCAGGGCCCTTCCTTTATGCGTGCAGTGAGCCCAGACGGCTAGAATGGGACACTGGTGAGCACACCAATGAGCCTGAGACCATCACATCTATTATCTGAGCATGGATGGACGAGCTACCCATAGAAAGCACCACAGCCTTTGCTGGTGGAAGTGGGTCGGTGACTTGTTCCACTTTTCTTTTCTTTTTTTTTTTGAGATGGGGTTTCGCTTTTGTTGCCCAGGATGGAGTGCAATGGCACGATCTCAGCTCACCACAACCTCTGCCTCCCGGGTTCAAGTGATTCTTCTGCCTTAGCCTCCCGAGTAGCTGGGATCACAGGCATACGCCACTACGCCTGGCTAATTTTGTATTTTTAGTAGAGATGGGGTTTCTCTGTGTTGGTCAGGCTGGTCTCAAACTCCCGACCTCAGGTGACCTGCCTGACTCAGCCTCCCAAAGTGCTGGGATTATAGGCATGAGCCACGCGCCCGCCCTATTCCTTGTTTTGTCTTCTTTCTCTTAGACAGGACCCCACATCTTAT